TGACTCCTGTCCCGCCCTTAGAAGGGATTACTCTCTGGAGGTCCCCAGGGCGGCGGTACGAGCAGTGCTGCCTCTCTTGTGTCTCTGCAGCGTGGTGGAGTGACAAGACCTGTGCTTAGACGTTCGCCCCCCGCTCTGTGTTCTCGGGCCATTTACCTGCCATCTCTGGACCTTGATTTCCCCACGTGGAAAATGGGACTAATACAGTGCACCTTACGCAGATTAGAATTTCAAGAGAGAAACCTGTGAAAGCTCTTAGCACGGCACTCGGCTACGAGCTGAATGGAAGGCAGAAACCACTTTCCATTTTACAACTGGAAAAGCTGAAGCCCTGAGAGTCGCCCCGTGGCAGAGTCCACACGGGACTCAAGAAATTAACTAGGGTTTGGCAGCCGAAGCTGGAGCACTTCTCGAGCAGTGACTGTCCGACGAAATATGATGTGAATCACATATGTCGGTTTAAATTTTTTAGGAGCCACATTTAAAGTGAAAAAGCAGCTCTAGGCTTGCTTCCTGCCCAACCCCAGTGGACAGACAGCTGCTCCTTCCTACATTTTCAATATCCAAAACCGAAACCTTGCCATTGCGTCTGGGCGTGGGTTGGGGCACGTGCCGGTCCATCATGGCCAGAGGGACGAATGGACCGATTGGCCCAGTCTGGTCACACGGCTATTCCTGGAAGGGTGTTGAGTCAGTCCTGGCCCCCGACCACAGAGCCCGAGGTCGGGGGAGAGTGATTCCTCAGGGCGGATCGGGCTGCTTTACTCCAAAGGGGAGTGGGTGCCGGGCAGGCGCAAACTCCAGGTGACCACCGGGTTTCCCATCCCCGACTCTGGCTCGTGGCAGTGAAAGTTGTGTTCCTGGGGGTCTGTCTGAAAGCATTGGCACATCCCGCAGGCACAGCGGAGAAGGACACCGTCTGTGAGCTGCCTTCCCCAGGGACCAGCCCTGCCTGCTCCAGCCCGGAGGACTGCAAGGAGCCCACCAGGTGACTCCCCGGCCCTGTGACCTCCCTCCCAGGGCACAGCTGGGCTGCGGGTGCAGGTGGGGTTCAGCCCATGGTGTCAGGACTCCAGGGTCCTCTCTGCCACGCCCTACGTCCTTTGCCGCCCAGCTGTGTGTCCAGCCCTTACTCCTGGGAGCTTATGGTGGGCCTGCCGGAGGCTGTGGGCAGAGGGTCTGGGACCCTGTCGCTATAGAAACTGTCGTCCCCTGAGCACAGGCCTCCCTTGCCCCACTGGGCGAGTGTCAGTCCCACCTCTGGCTTCTTCCCCAGCAGCAGCATCCTGCAGGCCGAGCCTACCCCGACGACCCCGGCAGCCTCCAACGCCAGGACCACACTTCTTAGAGGGGGCACCTCCCTTGCCCCAGAAGACGCTTCCAAACTGGCAAGGGCTCCCAGCTCCCCCTCCTCTGCGGGGAAGCCTAGTTCCGGTCCAGGTAATTTCCTCGCGAAGCTGTGGGTCGTCTCCCGGGGCAGCGGGGGCCGACTGGTGGACAGCCCGTACGTGGCGGTGGTCGGGGCAGGTGGACACTGGGCTGTGCTCCTTTCCCAGCGGGGAGACAAGAGGGTCTCGGGGGCTGATCTCCAGGGGCTGAAGGCGCCGAGGGCCAGAGGTCGGCACCGTAAGGGCTCGTCCGTTTGCCAGAAGCGCTAGGGCCTCCCGTGCGCCAGGTGCTGGGCGCTGTCCCCCTGCTGTCGTGGCCCCTGTGCCAGAGCAGGCCAGCCTCTGCACGCGTGCACCGGGTGCAATTCCAGTTCCCATGGCAACGGGTCAGGCTCTCAGTTCGTTCCTTTTTATGATTGAATAGCTTTCCACTGCGTAGCTATACCATGCTCTGTTTACCCAAACAGCTTTTGGATATTTGGGCTGTTTCCACTTTCTGGCTACAATGAATAACGAAAAACAAGTCTTTGTGTGAATGTATGTTTTCATTTCTCTTGAGTTGGTTTTTAAAAAATAATTGATTTATAGAACTTCTTATAATTCTGGGTTCAAGCCTTCTAGGTTCAAGCCTATCTTCTCCTGTCCTGTGGCTTGACTTCTCAGTATCTTTTTCTTTTTTTTTTTTGGGAGGACAGGTCTCGCGGCTGTGCCGGGGTATAGTATAGTGACGTCATCATCCGCTCAACTGTAGCCTCACCTCCTGGGCCAGGTGATCCTCCCTGCCTCAGCTTCCCGATAGCTGGACTACAGGCATGCGCACACGCCAGCTAAGCTTTCTATTTTGTAGAGATGGGGTCGCGCTGGTGTTGCTCAGGCTGGTCCTTCGGATCTTTTGATGAAGAGAGGATTCTAGTTAATGTATCAGATGATCAATCTTTCCTTTATGTCTAGTGCTGTCTGTGCCTGCCTGGGAAGTCTTTTTACAACCGGAGCCTCAAGACACCCTACAGTGGTTTTTTAGGGTCACTGTTGCTTTCCCTTTCACATTTAGGTCTGCTGTGCCTCTTGAGCTTTCTGGTGGTGTGCGGCAGTGGTCCCGCCGGACATGTGGGTTGAACCCGCCGTTTCTCGGCGGCCGGCCCAAGGGGGGGCATGCGGGGGAAGGGGACAAAGGCCGGGAGGACCTCCTGTGATGGAAAGCCGGTCGGGGAGGTATCTGGGTGTAAGCACCACACCGGTCTCGTACGTTCTGTTGTTTTTTTTTAACAAATCGCTTGATAGTACCGGGTGAGCAACGGCCTCCAACTCTGTGCTTCAGTACGAGGAACTACGGAAGCTTGTTCCCGTGGATTCAGTTTCTTGAGTAGTTGCATTCCATGTGACTTTTTACATGCAGCTTTCATAATCCACAAGAATGTCCTGTTGGGATTTTGGATGGGGGTTGCACGGAATCATAATAGGGCGGCTTAGAAGGAATGTTCTCCATGATGATGTAACCAGGCGTCCTCCAAGACTACGCGCCTACGGCCACATGCGGTGTTTTGCCCCATTGGTTTTTTGATGTCAAAATAAGATATGTGCAGTGTCATAGGGATTGTCATGTAGTTTTTAAAGATATAGTCCGGCGTCAACGGCTGAGGGACCAGTGGAACTGGCCCCCGTTTAAGAACAGCTTGAGACCCCTTAGTAAACCATCTTTTCACACACCATGTACGTTCTGTTGGTTGATATTATTTTGAACCATGCGAACACAGAATTTCTGACAGGGTCCAACCTAGCATAGAAAGATCCAACTGATGTCGAGGCAGTGACCATGATGTCAGCTTCCCGCCAAGCGCTCACTCATTGCAGCAGTGCGCCCGCGGATATATTCGGGGCGTCGTGCCCCTCAGGGTGGACGCGGCTGTGGGTGTGCGGCGGCTTGGCATCCATGCCTTTGTGAGCCTTCACCGTGTGTCTTTCTCTTGCCTTGCCGGCCTCGGCGGCAGACCCTGGCCACCATCCTGAATGGAAGTGACGATGGTGGATGTCCTCGCCTTGTGGCTGGGCGCACGGGAAAGCTGCCTCCCAAGTTTGGAGTGCACGAGCGAGCGACAGCTCCCATGGGACCAGGGGAGGGCTCTGGCAGGGCGGCCGGCCGCAGCGGAGGGAGGGGGCGGGAGGCAGGGCTGTTGGGGCAGCTAGCGCCCTGCTCCTGCGTGCAGCACGGCTGACGTCCTTCCCTCTCGGAGCCTCCGAACCCCGAGGGGCAGGACTGATCTGGCTGTGGGGGGTTGGGAGCTGGCCACCGTGGGAGTCGGGGCTGCAGGGATGGGGGTGGGGGAGGCCTGTGCCAAGGCAGCCTGGCCCGGAGCTTCGCTGCTTCTTTTCCCAGGACCGTCCCCGCCGCAGCCGTGCCCGCAGGGCTCCGCCGACTGCAGGAAGCTGTGCGAGCCCGACTACTACCTGGACGGGGCCGGCCGCTGCACGGCCTGCGTGACCTGCTCCCGGGGTAAGGGCCTCGTCCTTCCTCCCAGGGCTCCTTCTGGGGAGCTCGGGGTCCCGGAGGAGAGGCGGCGACTCTGCGGTGGGGAAACCCGTCTCTGCTTCTGCCTGCTCAGCCCTGGGAGCCCCGCTTGACCTCTCTGTCAACTTCCAGTGACTCCTCTCACATTCCCGGGGCTTTACTGGCGGCCCCCCCTTTTTAGAGAGCTTTCGTTTGCTTGTCCCCTCCTTCCTGGAAACATTTATGAATCACCTGCCTGTTCCAGACTCGTCTCAGAACTTTTGTAACTACCCCGCACGGCAGGGATTGAGGTTCTCTCCATCTTACAGAAGAGGAAACTGAGGCTTTGGGAAGTGAGGGGACTAACAGAGGCCATGGGCTGGAGCTGGAAGCCAGGCGACCCTGCCACCAGGTGCTGGGCTCTTGTCACCCTGGTGAGCTGCCTCTCCAAGCCCACCTGTGACCAGCACTTGCTGCGTGGCGACAGGACGGGGACATGGGGCTTTCCCTGCAGCCGTCCCTGTGATGTCCGTGAGTCCACACAGGACAGGGCAGCCGCCCAGGTCCCGGGCCACGATGGCTGGAGACGCCCCGGCCGCTCGGGGAGGCCACTGGGAACGTGTGATTCTGCCTCGTGTCAGGGTTTCTTCACCCGGCCGTGCAGCCCAGAGCCGGGGGAGGCCGCGCGGAGGGGCGAACGCTCAGACTGTTGGCGTCGCAGGCCTCTGTCCCCGTTGCTAAGGCTACGTGGCATATTTCCTCAAAACCTAGCGGGGGGAAAACAAACCATTCTTTGTGTTCGTGGACTCTGTGGGTCAGAATTCAGACGGGGCACCGTGAGGGCAGCTCGTCTCCGCTCCACAGCGTCTGCGGCCTCCGCTGGAGGCCCAAAGGCCAGAGGCTGCGATCAGGTCAGGGCTCATTCCTTTGCGCGCGCATGGTGGGGCCGGTGTCGACTCCTGGCCTGGGCCCCGGGCCCTCCGTGCGGCTCGCCTTGGGCTCCGCGTGGTCTGGAGGCTGGGCTCTAAAGGCCAATGTCTTGAGAGAGACAGAGGCAGACGGAGAACGGCAGCGGCCACACTCCTTTCACCCAGTCTCAGAGGTCACGCGGCGTAGCTTCCACGCCCCCTGCCCGCCAGGCAGCCCCGAGTCTCACTGGAGACCAAGCGAAGGAAGGCAGCGCACTTCTTGACGGGAAGCAGCAGGCTCTGGAAGAGCAGACAGGGCCAGAAGCACCACTCTGGCCATTGTGGGGAAAGCACAATCTGCCACAGCCACCGTGTCAGATGGAGAAACAAGAGATGGGCCCAAGGATTCCTTCAGCTCTCCCAGCTGAAGCCCTGCGAGGCAGTGGAGGGGAGTGTGGTGGCCGAGGGCACGGGCCCGGGTGCAGATCTTGGCTCTCCCACTGGATCGCTTAGAAACTCAGGCAAGTGTCTTAACCTCTCTGTGCCTCAGTTTTCTCACCTGCAAAATGGGCACAATAGTAGTGTCTATCTTAGAGAGTTGTGGGAATTAAATAGGTTACTGTAGGTTAATCTGGTTAGAGTACCAAGAATACGTCTCACACGCACTCGGTTATCTTAAAAGCTGTAATAATGATAATAGCTGCCATCGTCTCAAATCTTCTCATTCACTGCCCACTCATGCCCTTTGCACAAATTCCCCAAATCCTGCTCGGTTTCCTCTCTCTGGAGGTTGCAAGAAGAGACCGTGTGGACCTTATTGTTATCGTGCCGGGTCCCTGAGCATCTGCTGACTCAGAAATGTTCCTGTGGAGCAAGTCACCTTGCCTCGTCTACTGTTGCAGTAATTCTGTCTTTACCCACACGTGGAAATAGCCCCAAACATATACCAGGCATTATCACACTTTTTCTTTTATAATACCTGTAACGTTTTAATTTTTGTTTTTGGAAAAGTGACTTATAGAAATTTCGGACGTGGAGACTCAGAAAAGGCTGTGCACCCTCCTTTGCACCCTTCCTTCTTTCGTCTCTGGCTTTGCTGCGACAGTGGGGCCGTTGTCTGTGTGGCGTATGTCCCATGCTTGTAAACCTACATCTTGCTCTTGCGCTGGAATCCTATCTTCCCTTCCTCAGTAAACCTCATTTTCATGCTTGCCAAAAAAAGAAACGGCTGTATACTGTCACCCAGCTAGAAACAATGACCGCGTCCTGGCCGGTCTTGGCTCGTCTGCCCCACTCACCCCGTGCCCTGGCGATTTCCTTTCGGCAGCTTACGGAGATAGATGTAGCTGATATACAGTAAAGGCACGTGTGTGCAATTGATAAGTTTTGACGTGCGCACGTGGCTGTGTGTCCGGCCACCCCCGTCAAAGTTTCCTGGAGCTCCTGTCATCCCTCCCACCATGCCCGCCCCACCCCCATTCCCAGGCAATCATTCTGCTCAGCTTGCATTTGCTAGAATTTTATTAATATATAAACGGAACACAAGAATGTCCTCTTTTTTTTTCCCTCCTGAGACGGAGTCTCGCTCCGTTGCCCAGTCTGGAGTGCGGTGCTGGGGGCAGGACGGGGACACGGGGCTTTCCCTGCAGCCGTCCTTGTGATGTCCGTGAGTCCACACAGGACAGGGCAGCCGCCCAGGTCATCATGGCTCACTGTGGCCTACAGCTCCTGGGCTCAAGTGAACTCCCTGCCTGAGCCTCCCAAGTAGCTGGGAGGTGTGTTCCACTATGCTCGGCTAATTTTCTTTTCTTCATTATTTTTTGTAGAGACAGGGACTCACTATGTTGCCCAGGCTGGTCTGGAACTCCTGGTCTCAAGCGATTCTCCCGCCTGGGCCTCCCAAAATGCCAGGATTACAGGCGTGAGCCGCCGCCACACCCGGCCTGTCCTCCTTTTCTGTCTGACTCCTACTCAGTGTGACTATTTCGAGCATGCCAGGAGATCTGCTCGATGGAAAAGTCAAATGAGCATTTATTCTCTTGTTGGACGAGCCCTGGGCAACAGCTTCCCTGTCCTCCTGGGGACCCCCTCTTGCACCCCCCGCCCTTGCCCTTCCCCGTGACCCTCTCTGTGCTCCTCAGATGACCTTGTGGAGAAGACGCCGTGCTCCTGGAACTCCTCCCGCGTCTGCGAGTGTCGGCCCGGCATGCTCTGCGCCACGTCAGCCACCAACTCCTGTGCCCGCTGCGTCGCCCGCCCCGCCTGCCCGCCCGGGATGGCCGAGGAGCCCCGGGGTAAGCAGTCCCCAGCCGGGGGGGCCGAGGCCTGGGCCCCGCCTGCTGTGCCTCTCCCCACCCCCAACCCGGCCAGCCACCCCCCACCCCGGCCGATAGCCAGGTCAGCTGTGGGCTCTGCTTGCCGTCTGAGGAGTCAGACCCAGCGAATGGGATAATAAGATCCAGATCGGGCATGTCAGTGAGAGGTTCTGACGATATTTTTCAAAAAGTCTTCTTCCTGACCTTATTGGGCTGGTAAAATGGTGACTCGTTTGCACGGCTGTTCCGATGGCTCCTCGAGGGGAATATAAAGTTTCCGAAGAGATTTCCAAGACGGTGGGCTTGGCCAGTGTGCAGGACGATGGCAGCCCCTGACAGTTCCTTAAAAAACGGGCTCTGGCCGGGTGCGGTGGCTCACGCCTGCAATCCTAGCACTCTGGGAGGCCGAGGAGGGCGGATCGCTCAAGGTCAGGAGTTTGAGACCAGCCTGAGCAAGAGCGAGACCCCCGTCTCTACTAAAAATAGAAAGAAATTAATTGGCCAACTAAAAATATGTAGAAAACATTAGCTGGGCATGGTGGCGCATGCCTGTAGTCCCAGCTACTCGGGAGGCTGAGGCAGGAGTTTGAGGTTGCTGTGAGCTGGGCTGATGCCACGGCACTCTAGCTGGGACAACAGAGTGAGACTCTGTCTCAAATAAATAAATAAATAAAAAGAAAAAAAGAAAAAGTAAAAAATGGGCTCATCAGCAGATGAGAAATTTCACCAAGTTTCTAGAAAGTGGAAAACAAATGGAAGGTTGGTGACAAAACTGAGTGGGGGAAGCCCACCGCGGGTCACTGCTGCAGGGAGTGAGGCCACCTGCTTGACAGACCTCAGGAGGCTCTGGGCTCCCAACAGGCAAGGAGCACGTAGGTGGGTGGGAAGCGGGGGGCTGAGAAGTGCAGGGGGCTGTGACCACATCTCGAAAATAAAATTTAAAAATTTATGACAATGGCTTGGGCTTTGACCAGTCTACATAGATGATGCCTGAGGTTTTGTTTTGTTTTTTGTTTTTTTTCCGATAAGGCAACTTGTTTATTCTCTATTTTTAAATTATTATTATTTATTTTGTAGAGATGGGGTCTTGCTTTTGTTCAGTCTGGTCTTGAACTCCTGAGCTCAAGCGATCCTCCTGCCTCAGCCTCCCAGAGTGCTAGGATTAACAGGCAGTGAGCCACTGCGCCCGGCCTGCTGATTCTTTTAAAAATGTTAGACTGCATCACAAGCTAGTAAAGTCTAAGGGAACCTAAATACATTTACATTTAAAAAAGCCGTCTATATTTTGGCAACATCAGCTGACCCAACCTGCAGGAACCTGTGAGTATTAAGAGCGGTTCTGCTGATCCGGAGGTTAAGTTCTGCAAGTGCTTCAGTTCTGCAGCTTCTTGCAGAGGAAGAGCTGTGGGTGCTTCCATGAGGGCCACATGCAGGTCCTTTGAGGTCTTGCACCTTCCCCCAATCGCCTGCTGAGGTCTATGGGGCACCTCAAGGGGTGCCTTATGTAGCTCACCCCGCAAGGCACAGTCTCACTTAATGAACAGCCAGTAAACGCAGCAGGAGTTTCCGGCCGGAAGCGCCTGCTCGAGTCTGGTTTGCCAGGCAGCAAGCCCCTGCAGCTGTCAGTCAAGGAAGATATTTCAAGAATGGGCCAGCTTCAAGCAGACTCAGTCCTGCTGCGCACTTGCCAGGTTCTCGGCCCGACGCACACTCCCTGCTGCCTCGAGTGCCGGAGGAGCCCCTGGTTGGTGGTTGGCATGGTCAGATCGCAATCTAGGGCTTTCAGGAGCAGGCGTTCCCTTCTTAACCAAGTTGTCGCTTGGCGTACGTATCATCGGTTACGTAGACAAGCTCATCTACTGAGGGCGGACAGATCTCTTCATATTTCGAAGCCAAAAGAACGGCTGCTGTGTCTACCAGCTGCGGTTTCCCTCTCAGAACAGACGTGCACGAGAGGACTCTGTGCGAGAAGTTGACAGGCAGGTGCAGAGGCCCAAAGCTTACATTCTTCACCGCCCTCCACCCGAGTCGTGCCGGGCCTCCTGTGACGTCGGGCTGTCTTCTCAGGTCGTGAGCCTCGGGCCTGTACCTCATCTCAGCTTCTCTAAGGTACGGATGAACTTCTCCAGCGTATTCGGTCGCATTTTCCGCAGCTGTGCCCGAGCCTGGTGCGTGTTCAGACTGGGAATGGAGAGACGACTCTACCCGCACAGGGGAAACTGAGCCGCGGCCCAGCAGGGAGGCAGGTGGGACTCGAGAGTGCGGCGTCTACTTCGCATACATCCCCAGACGCCGTCGTCGCTGCCTGAGCAGCTGTCTCTGTCCCCCGCTCGGGTTCACCCATGCAGATGTCAAACCCTCGCTGGGGGGTTCGTGGACCCCGAAGTCAGCGCTTTCTTTCCTGCTGGAGGGAAGGCACTTTCAGATCCAGAAAAACACCCGATGGTAGCGATGCCCCGGCCACGGGTCTTCCTGACCTGCCCACGTTCAGTTAGCGCCCCTGGCGCTGTCCTTTGCGGGCCCGGCTGGGCTCTGGCGAGCATCTGACAAGCTTGGGGACCTCCGGCCACTGGAGCCACGAGGACTGTGCTCTTGGAGCCGCTGCAGCGCTTGGCCGCGGACTTCCCCTGCCACTGCCTGGAGCCCACAGCCGGCCCCGCGGTCCCCGGGGTTATGTCTTTGCATGTGTCAATGCCTGAGTTTTTATCCCCTGGTAAAAACAATCAACTTTTGGGCTGATGACACTGACAGGATATCCAGGGAAAGATCAAGCCACCAGTGGGGTGCTGGCACTCTGCTTGTAAAGCCCTCTTTATCCGGGCATTTGGAAGTGCACCTGTCAATTGGTCAGCCTCGCCCAGTCACCCCGATATGAATACTGCCAGCTCACAGCCCCGCCCGTGGGCCCGGGTCCCCCGGCAGACCTCCTGCTCAGGGAAGAGACCCACTGTGAGCGAGACATACTGACACCACGGCGGGAGAACCCCACCCTGCCCCAGCTACAGGAATGTTCAGCACAATCCTTTTTTAAAATTAATATGAATGAGCAGTAAAGATCTTCAGACTTATATGGAAAACCAGCCCTACGAAGGAGAAAAACAAGAAATAAAAGCACGCAAACAGAAAATCTTACTGCTGACAAAGCAATGATGAATCCAGGAATAGAAGAGAACTCGGCAACATTAAATTCATGTCCACAGAAAAAGTCATCAAGTCGTGACATCCGTGAAGTGAGCACAGAAGGCTCTGAAAAAGGAACAGGAGATCAGAGGACGAGAAATAGCTTTATTAATATATTAATAATAAAAAGTGTGAAGCCCCGTGCATGGCCTGCGCTCCCGAGTCCCCAGTAGAGGGCGCTAGAGGGCAGGTGCAGGAGGACGTGGCCATCACGTGGCTGCATTTGCTTTTTCTTGTCCTGTCTGCAATCTGTCTGCGGGGCGTGTCTCGGGGGATGGCAGGGCCCGTCTGGTGGTGCTCCCAGAGCCGGCAGTCCCTCAGCGGCCTCACCAGCCTAGGCTGGTGACCACTTGGCGTGGTCCTCCCAGTGCAGACACTGGCGTGCTCCAGGCCTCATGTCTGCAGAAGTGTCCCCACTCGCTCCGTGCACCCCCCACCAGCCCCAGGTCTTCAGCACCCCGTTTCTCGAGGCCCTCCTGACACAGCCACTGCGTGCACAAGGCCTCACACCCACAGCGGAAGACTAGCTTTCTCCGCAGGCCTGACCTGTGAATTAGGCTGTGGATCAAACGCCCCTACCAGGAGCAAGGCAAGGAAGAAGGAGAATTGCCCACGTCTGCAGGCACTGAGGCACCGCTGTTTGTTTACCTGTTTATCAAGTGATGGCATTCGGGTTGTTTCCAGTTTAGGGCTGTCCTGAACGAAAGCAGCTGTGGATATTCTTGTCGGAGTCATTGGGTGGATATATATCTTCGTTTCCCATGGGTAAATACCTAGGAGGGGTGGCTGGTCATTGTGCTGTGGCCACACAGAATGTCTCAGAGGGCCAGGCCAAGCTGGTCACCTGTGACCTGATGCAGCCGCCGCCTTCTGCGGGGAGAAGCACAGGGCTGATGCTGGAGCCGGAATGCAGGATCCTAGTGGTCAGCCCAGAACTCTCTCCACCGGACTACACCTCCCCCTTCCTCGTTCCGGACCTAGAATTTACCCAGCCAAGTTGCAATCAAGTTTGAAGGCAGTATGAAAACAGCTCAGACATCAATGGTCCAGAAAGCTCTTCTTCTTGTATGTCTCTTAGAAAGTTACTTGAAGGTGTAATCTAGCTAAATATAAGGGGTCAAAAACCAAAGAGGAAAAAACCCACAGAATCTAGAAACCAGTGACTCTGTCCTGGGAGAGCCAGGAAGAGCAGTGCCAGAATGACAGCCAGGCTGCAGCAGGCCGCCCTCTACTGGGGACTTGGGAGCCCAGGCCATGCACGGGGCTTCACACTTTTTATTATTAATATATTAATAAAGCTATTTCTCGTTGAGCCGGATCAGAGCAGGAAAGTGGAGGCCTCCAAGGGAGTGGCTCAGTAATAAAAGGGAAAATCGCGATAAATTGCGTGATTAGTAGAGTTGAAAAACCTGAGGATATAGTCAAGGCACACTGTTCTTTTGTCAATAAGGACAATACAGGCGATTGAAAACTCCAGGGAAAAGAAAAGGCTGGCAAGGAATTTATAGTCCAATTATGAAGATGGAAATTTCACGTGATTTTAGGCAATTGCCGGATGTACAAGAAGAAAATCCATTTGACCTTATGCTAAAATCATTGTTCACATGGCTCAAGGGTCAAGTGTTTGGATTTGAAGAGATGTCTATTAGTCTGTTAAACAGTATCTAATTTTAATTCCTAAACTGAGACGAGGAGCAGGCGGGTTCCTTTCCTCTCTTCTAGCAGGCCCTCACCAGGGATCACAGGCCGGGCAACCAGGGGCAGACAAAGCCTCTGCTCACCTGCAGATCGAAAGGAGGAGGAAAGGGGGAGGATCACCAACTCAGGGAGAAGGGGGGAAGGTTCCAGGTGACGCGTGGCAGTGCCGCGCCCACCTTCTGTGCTTGCAGGAGAGACAGCAGGTTTGTTGCCGATTCCAGCAGGTGTTCCAGCGGCCGCTCAGACCGCGGCCTGTCTGGTTCCACCAGGCTGCTGTGGAGAGCGCTCAGAGGGCTCTCTCCTCATGGTGCTGAGTGGAGCTACAGTTAGTTGGCTTGTAACCGTGGGACCAGCCCAAACTGGGCCTCCTGTGTTGATAACAAGATGTCGAGTTCCCTTGTAGGTATGACAGAGCCAAAACCTGCAGGCCATGTGTCCAGGCATGTACAGTAGAAAAGGCTTTGACCTCTAACGACTCTTGGAACCGATAGCTCAGAACCAAGAAGACGAGAATATGACTGGGACCTAAATGCTGGGACTCTGAGAAGCGAGGGGTCCATTGGGCCCGGGAGATCCAGGGCTAAAATCGGCCTCAGTGTACCTGACTGCTGTAAATGGCCACATTTAAAGCCCTCCAATCCGACCCTGTGAAGCCAACACTCCTAGGTCCTTTCCCTCGCCCTCTGAGCCCATAAACTTGCCCCAGACCCCAAATGGGGGAGAAAGATTAAAGCCCGCTGGCCGCAAGCCCCTCTGCTCACTGACGGGTTCAGGCACAAGAGCTCCTCCAAACCTTGCAGCGTAAACTGTCACCGAAACCCCATGACATTTCAAATGCTGATTCAGACACCGATTTGCAAATATATCACAGCAAATTGCCTCCTCTTCCCCTTGGCTTACAGCCTCTAGACTTCGACTAATTCAGGTAATGGTCTGGTGAGTGCATGGGAAGATACAGCATCTGTTTGGAGACCCCCCAAAAAAGGAGGGTTCCTCAGGACCCACCAATCTAAGAAGGAAACTAGCTGTAGCCTCACTTTCTCTTGTAAATGTTTTAGCAGACATCTGAGAGGCGTCATGAGAACTTTTTAGAAGGGAGGTGCGTGTTGGGGGGTTGCTTCGTACCACATCAAAGTAGGGGTGCTGCCGCCATGGCTGTGGGGGAGGAGGGGTGTAGTGGCTGGGCATGATCTGCTTCAAATGTGGGCCACATTGTTCTGCCCCAGAAAAGCAGTTGATCCTCAGCTGGGAAGAAAGTGCCCAGGCCGCAGGCAGGAGGCGCCGTGGCACCGGGCGGCGAGCGCTCTGGGCGGGGACTCACCGTCCTCCAGCCCTGCGGTTCTCCCGGTCTGTGCAGCAAGGTGGCCCGCACAGCGACCCAGCCACCCCGCGTAGGCGCTCGAGAGAAGTGAAGTCAAATGTCCACATGGGCGTGTACAAAAGTGCTCAGAGCTGCCTTATTCATGGTAGCTTCAGACTGGAAACACCCCAAATGTCCATCCACCGGTGAATGAACACGTAAGCCGTGGGAGGTCTATGCAACGGGGTGCTGTTAAGCAATAAAAGGAATGGACTTTTGGTAATTGCAACATGGGTGACTCTCAGAAACATCGCGCCGAGTGAGGGAAGCCAGACACCAGCCAGAGAGTACGTCCGGAATGATGCCGTCTGTATGAAATTCTGGAACAGACAAATGAATCACTGGTGATGGACAGTAGATCAGTTGTTGCCTGGGTCTGGAGGTGGGGGGAGGACTAATTGAGCAGGGGCACTAGGGAACTTTCTGGGATGACGAGAATATTCTCTCGGGTTTTTTTTTTGTTTTGTTTTGTTTTTTTGAGACCAGGTCTTGCTCTGTCTCCTGGGCTAGAGTGCAGTGGCGTCATCGTAGCTCACTGCAGCCCGGAATTCCTGGGCTCAAGCGATCCTCCTGCCTCAGCCTCCCAAGTAGCTGGGACTACAGGTGTGCACCACCATGCCTGTCTAATTTCTCTATTTTTGTAGAGTTAGGTCTCCCTATGTCTCCCAGGCTAGTCTTGAAATCCTGGCCTCAAGCCTCCCACCTGGCCTCCCACCTCAGCCTCCCAAAGTGCTGAGATTATAGGAGTGAGCCACCATGCCCAGCCTATTTTGATCAGACTCTATAACAGTTACATGTGCCAGAACTCATCCAACTGTACATTTAGGGGATACTTTCTTGTATGTAAATTATGCCTCAATAAAGATGATTTTAAAAGAAAAAATAATTTAAAAAATTGAGGATATATTTAAACATCAGGAAATCTCAGTTTCTCTTGACTAAAATCAGAAGGTCTAGAGTCCCTGGGCCGCCTTCCTGGGGGATCACAGAGGTTGGAGATGAGCAGCAGCCTCTCCACTTTGATCTCTCCAAGCACAAATCTGACTGCCTTGGTGACTGCGGCAGCGGGAATCTTGTGTCACAGACGTCTGCACTGCACTGCCTCCCGGAAGTCACCAGTCTGCTGGTCAAGTCTTTGCTGGAGACACCAGGCTCAATGGCACTGATTCTCAGATGTTGCACCCCCCCACCCCGCAGGTATGGCTGTGAGGGACGCCACCTTGGAGCCGCCTCTACCAGGGACCCACCCTGACTGCAGCACCACCCCAGGGAGCAGCCAGGCGCCTGCCAGGTGACTCCGGCCCCTTCCCTCCTTTTGGCTGCTGCAGGACGGGGCTGCCCCCGCCGTGCCCAGGGGATGCCTAGGGGCAGCCAGGCTGGGGTGGTGTGGGCGTGGGCTGCATCCTCTGCGCCAAGCCTGCAAGTCATGTTGGGGAATGTGTGTCCCTCCTTGTGCTGGCACCACTGGAAAGCCTGAAGGCCTAGACACCCAGTCCTTGCCCTCCTCGCCTGGCGGGGGCGTTGGGCAGAGGATCCGGGGACCCAGGCCTTGTGACACAGTCTGTAGAGAAGGAAAATCACTCCTGAGCACACGCTTCCCTTTTTCCATCCCGATCGTCACTCCTGCCTTGGGCTTCTCTCCCCGCAGCTCCCCCGCCACCCTGAGCTCCCAGAGCTCCCTGCTGGACTCCCAGACCAGCAAGACGCTGCCCATCCCGACCGGCTCCCTCTCCTCCACGGGGAAGCCCATTCTGGACCCAGGTAATGGCTGCCCGCCCCCCAGCCGGGCCGGGAGGGCAGCTTCTCCTTCGTGGGTGTGGCCTGGGAGGGGGGTCAAGGTAGACCCCAGGTGTCTGGCTTCTGTATTGTGCTTTCATTCTTGTGAGCAAGACCTTTGTCACAGCATCATCCTCGTGGTCCATAATTACTACTCAGAAAATAGGTGGTACTGGGAAATTTCATTTTAGGACTTGCAGTTCTAGATACTGACACTAGGTGGCGGTAGCTCCCAGGTCAGCAGTTCTCAAAGTGGACCCGGCCGGCTGCCTGGGCACGGCTTGACAACCTGCTACAAAAGCCCGTTACGGGCCCTCCCCAGGCCGACAGAATCAGAAGCTGCATTTTAACAAGCTCTCGAGGGGGTTCATGTGCACGTTAATGTTTGAGGCGCACTTAACTGGCATATACTACCTTTTTAACATCTAAAAGTGGATGTGAAAAGTGATAACCAGATATACTATGTCTGTAAGTGACAAAAGGGAAAAAGGAAGCAAGTTAGCGCTGAGATATAGAGAAATAGATCCAGATAGCGGTTAAGAGCGTGGGTTGTGGAGTCTGCCTGGCCTGAGCTGGGACTCTGCCATTTACCCTGGGGGTGACCTCAGACACGTTACTGAACCTTCACGAGCCTCAGTTTCCCTTGTTTATAAAATGGAGATAGTGAGGGTGCCTGCAGCATAGGGTTGTTGATTCATTCATTCCTGAGTGTGCTCCTGTGCAGAGCAGACCCTGTGCCTGCCCTCATGGAGCTCACGGTCTAGGGGCTGGCTGGGAGTTGTACCTTATTCAAGCACCCCCTTCCCCATCCTCACTGCTCGACCCTCCCCTGTGCCCCCCCAACTCTAGCCACACCAGACGTGCTACCAGGTGCCCATCACATCATGCCCTCCCCCATAGCCCCCAGACTTTTGTCTTTTATTATTCTTATTATTTGTATCAATGGGGGTCTCACTATATTGGCCAGGCTGGTCTCAAACCCCTGGCCTCAAGTCATCATCAAGTCATCATCCAGCCTCAGCTTCCCAAAGTGCTGGGATTACAGGGGTGAGCCACCATGTCTGGCACAGACTTTGGTCTTTTGGATCTCAATTCCTTTTTCATTCTGGCTCCTCAACTCCTCAGTTTCTCACCTTCTAGAAACTGCCCTTCTTCTCTCAACTGTAAATAGTTGATTGGTGGCTTCCTGGAGCCAGGCGAGGGGGGTTAGGGCTGTGTCAGACACAGTCCCAGCTTGGGAAAGGACCATATATTGTTAGGCATGGTGGAATCTGTGTTCCAGGGGAAGGAGGAAGTAGTCTGGGGCTAGGGCTGTCCTGTGTGGTTGCAGTGGGGCAAAGAGTGAAGGGCACTTGTGTGTTTCAGGACCAGTGCTTTGGGTGACCGTGGTGCTGGCGGTGGTGGTTGGCTCTAGCATCTTCCTCCTGTGCCGCTGGAGGGCCTGCAGGAAGCAGATTCGGCAGAGTGAGTGCATGTGTCCTTGGGGCCTTGGGTGGGGGATGGGTTGCTCTCTGAGGGGCTGGCCTGGGTCCCTCCCCTACCTGCCCCTGCTCTCTGAGGCTGGCATCTCCAGCCCTGGTCCTGGTGTCATTTCAGAGCTCCACCTGTGCTACCCAGTCCAGACCTTCCGGCCCAAGCTGGAGTCCGTGGGTGAGTGTCCAGCAGTCCGAAGGGGAAAGCCAGGTGGGGACACATGGCTCCGGGCCCAGGCTTGGGCTCAACAGACTTGACTTCTAGCCCAGCCTCGGGGCTCCCTCCGTTGGGCTTCCTACAAGCGGCTCCTCCTCCCCAGCCTCCTCTGGAGTGGGGACATAATGCAGTGAGAACTGTGACTTGCCCTGACAGTGCCTGGCTAGAGCGCTGGCGCGAAAGTTTAGAAACCCATCTTGTCTTGCATGCTTTCCCCGTAGCACCCCCCGGGGGGCATCCTGAGCACCCTCCTTTCCTGTCTTCTCCCTCCCTCCCTTCCCTTTCTCCTTCTCCTCCCTCTTCCCCCCTCCCCTGTTCTATCTCCTGGCAAGTCAGGCCAGCGGTATGAAGGGCACATGGTCAGGAGAGCAGGGTCACAGGGCTGGAGTCCTGGTTCTGCCACTTAACAAGCCACATGACCCTGGGCAAGTCACCTAATCCCCTGTGCCTCAGTTTCTTCATCTGTAAAATGAGGACGGTGGAACGTACTTCAGAGGCTTGGCCCGTGGATTCATCAAGGTCAGGCCACTAAGCCCCACGTGGTGTGGCTGCCCGAGGTCAGTGCCTGCTGTTTGACGGGCCACCCTGTGTCTGGGGCCTTTGTCTTCACCAGGACTCCTGGGTCCTTGCTGTGATCCTTGTGCGGCCTCCAGGCCAGCTCTCCCAGGCAGCCCTCCAGAGTCCTTGTGACCACCCTGCCCGTCTCAGCAGGGGGCTCTTCCAGTGCTCCCCTGGTGGGGGTGGGGGGGAAGGGGGGTGATGTGCACAGCCATCCTGTGCTAAGTGCCTTCTCTCGCCCTTCGAGGCAGGCCAAGGTCTTGCTCCACAGCGTCAACTGGGCACCCACTGCCTGCTGGGTCCCGGCAGGGTGGGTGTCTGAGCCTCCCTTTCTGGTGTGCAAGGCGCCTCCCTCAGAGGGTCTCGCGCCCCCTACAGTGCTGATTTTCATTCCACAGGGAGGAGACAAGGCTCAGAAGGGCAGGTGACTGGCCCAGGGCCACACAGCCTGTGAGCAGCGCAGCCAGGCTGCAGTGCTGGTGCTCGGGCATTTGCCCCACTGCGGGTTCCCTCTGTAGAGGGCTCAGCCCTGCCCTCTTCCTTCCTGCCCAGCTCTGTCCACCACCCCAGTGCCTGCCCGAGAGCCCGGTGGCCAGCCTGAGGCCAGGCTTGTTGTCCCCGTCCCCCGATCCCCCCAGGACCCTTGCAGAGCCCCGCAGTGGGCTGACTGTTGGCTTGGGCACAAAAACACTGAGGCATGTTTTGAATTTGATGAGTTTCACAAGCAAGCACTTGTGTTCCCTTTGCAAGGGGGGTTTTTGTGTTTTGATAGTTTCAAGCCTGTTTCCATGAGCTGTCAGGCTCAGTGCCTCATTGAAACCGGCATTTGCTTTCTTGACATTTTTCTAGTATTAGAATTTCCGTTGCTGTCAGTTTATTTTTTTTCTTCAAACCTTTGTGAAAACAGTTTTGTTACAAGAAAGAAAGAAAGAAAGAAAGAAAGAAAGAAAGAAAGAAAGAAAGAAAGGAAGAGAAAAGAAAAGAAAAGAAAAGAAAAGAAAAGAAAAGAAAAGAAAAGAAAAGAAAAGAAGCACCTTTCCTTAAGAAGCCAAATCTACGAGGCCCGAGCCCTGAGACTCAGTGGTGGACTTCCTGTCTCCGGCCACTCTGGCCCGCTGGCCTCTGGCACCAGGGTCTGGGTTTCCAGGCCCAGCAGGAAGGCAGGTGAAGCCAGGACAAGCAGGCTCGCAGGGCACAGGGTGGGAACAGACTGAGCAGGGTGGAGGCCCTGCTTCCCTCTGGAGCAGTGGGTGGTGAAAGAGTGAAGGAGCATTCATTCATTCACTCACTCACTCATCGATTCAAATAATCTTTATAGAGCACCTGCCTGGTGCAGGCTCTGTGCTAGGCACAGAAACTGCCCTAACTCCCCCGAGCTTTCCGACTAGCGCGGATGCTCAGAGGGGCTACAGGAGAGCGGGGCGGGAATGTGCGCCCCTGCATCCGGGACCTGGGGCGGGGGAGCGCTTGGTTCGCTGAGCAGCGAGTGCACCAGCAGCCTGTGACCTTCTGTGCAGAGCGGTCAGACGCTCACCAGCCGGCTCTGCAAACGATCTGACTTTTCCTGCATGTGTCCCTGGAGAGAGGCACCTGCGAAGCACATACGTCATCTCATTTTACTCTTCCTGCAGCCTGTGAGGTGCCTGCTGCTATGTATGGCCCCATCTCACAGATGGGCAGCCTGAGGCTCAGGAAGGTGAAGTAACTTGCTTAAGACCACGTGCTCAGTCGGACTAGAACCTTGTTCTTGCTGAGATTTTCGGCCTCGGCACCGCTGACGTTTGGGCACGGACCATTCCTCGCCGCGGGGGGCTGTCCCGGGCTTCGTGGGTGTGCAGCAGCCTCCCAGGTGCCTGTCATGCCCCCAGCTGTGACCAGCAAATGTGTCTCCAGACATTGTCACATGGCCCCTGGGGGGAACTACTCCTGGTTGAGAACCACTGGTCTGAAATTCTTTTAGTCCTTCATTTTAATGGGCACTTGAGTCATTATCTGTCATTTCAGGCAGATTGAGGTTGGAAGAAATTCTTTTTTTGTTTTGAAACACTTTCAAATTTACAGAAAAGTTGCAAGTGTAGTACAAAGAACTCATTTTGTGCTGAACGATTTGAGGGTTAACTTACTGACCCGACACCTCATCACCCCCGAATATTTTAGTGTGTGTTTCGTACAAACAAGGGCGTACATAGTAAAATCATCAGAATGAGGAAAGTCACATCGATACGTCACCACCGATGAATCCTGGTCAAGTTACTTGTCCCAGCAGCGTGCTTTGGAGCAGAAGAGTCCAGTTCAGAGGTGCGAGTTGCATTTGGCTGTCCCGGTTCCTTGAGGCTCCCTCAGTCTGGGTCCGTTCCCCGGTCCTTGCCTTGACCGGCACTGGGGAGAGTGCGGGCGGGGACCCCGTGGATGCCCTTCACCTGGGGTTTGACTGGTGTTTCCTCCCGAGTGGACTCTGGGCGTGCATCTTTGGCTGGAAGATCCCAGAAGTGACGCTAGGCCCTTTCCAGGGTGTCCTGCCGCGTTTCGGCTCGTCCCTTTGCTGGTGCTGTGCACTTTGAGCCCTTGCGTGATAGGGGACGCCTGCCAGGCCCCTGCGCCGCGAGGTCCTTCGTTTCTCCTTGGGAATTACTAAGCCTTCTGAAGGCAGGTACTTTGAGGCTATCAACAACCCGTTCTTCATCAGACTTTCGTTTCCTTCACTTATACCTTTATGGGCTCATGGATTCGTATTTTGTTCCATGGGTTGTAATCTGTTAGCATCGTTATCTATTTTGATGCTCAAATGGGCCCAGATTAGGCCGGGGAGAGCCCCTTCAAGCTGGCTCCTGTCTCCTTGTGACATGTCCTCATCCTTCTGTGCTCTGAGCACTTCCTTGTTCTAAGATGTTCCCGGCTTATCTTGCCTCTTCTGCCTCAGCCCCGGAATCTCATCTCTGCAGGGAGCCCGGGGTTTGAATCTGGGGCTGCCTGTTGCCAAAGCCTGGCTGAACCTCTGTGCCAAACTCCTTCCTTGGGCCTGCTCTGCTGCTCACAGCCTCGGGGGATCAGGGGCCAGAGAGGAGGGGATGTGACTGAAAGGGGAGAACAGCGGGGATGGAAGAGACCGAGAGCTTTAAATCCTGCGGCAGAACTCTCGCACTCCTCGAGTGCCGCTTCCGAGCAGCCTGGGGTACCATGCGCTTGTCCCTGGGGAACCGCCGCTGCCCGGCGCGTTCCTGGACTCCTGTCCTGGGTGCCAGATGGGTTTACGAGAAGATGGTAGTTATCTCCAAAAGCAAGAACACCAATAAATCAGGACAGCAGACTGAAGCAACATTTTTAAGGGAAAAGCACTTACGAAATCTGATCTTTGCCCTTTGCAAGATTTGTTTTGGGTCTTAATCAAAGCACTCATGAGTTGTGACATGGCTGTAGGCAGATGTCAGAGCCTCTTGGTTTCCGCCTTTTTACCTTCACGTTACGTTGCACTTGCTTCCGACAGTCATGCTGGTTTTTTCCGTGTGATGAGAGCGCCGAGCCGTGTTCACATTCCAGGCTCTCCCGGGGCCTGCCGTGTGCTAGACAAGCGTCCCGGCACCTTCTCTCTTGTAATATTTAGACTTTTAGAAATTCTAAGTAGATTTCATTTTTTAGAGCAGTTTTAGATTTACAGAAGATTTGAGGTGATGGTACAGAAGTTCCCATATATCCCACGCCTAGTTTCTTTTCTTATAAACATCTCACGTTAGCATGGCACATTTGCCGAGATAAATGGACTAGTCCGGACACGCTGTTGTTAGCTAAAGCCCGCATGTTATTCTCATTTACTCGGTTTACCTAAGGTTGCAGGGGCCACCCGGAGCCCCACGTTGCCTGCACTCAGCACGGCTCTTGCAGCTCCTCTGGCCCCGGCTGGTTTCTCAGACCTTGTTCTTGATGGCCTGGACTAAGGAGTTGTTGTTTTTTTTTTTTTAATTTTTTTTGAGACAGAGTCTCACTCTCTTGCCCCGGCTAGAGTGAGTGCCGTGGCGTCAGCCTAGCTCACAGCAACCTCAAACTCCTGGGCTCAAGCAATCCTCCTGCCTCAGCCTCCCGAGTAGCTGGGACTACAGGCATGCACCACCATGCCCAGCTAATTTTTTCTATATATATTTTTAGTTGGCCAATTAATTTCTTTCTATTTATAGTAGAGATGGGGTCTCGCTCTTGCTCAGGCTGGTTTCGAACTCCTGACCTTGAGTGATCCTCCCTCCTCGGCCTCCCAGAGTGCTAGGATTACAGGCGTGAGCCACCGCACCCGGCCTGGACTAAGAAGTATTGATCAGGTATTTTGCAGGGTGTCCCCCCTTCTGGGACCTGTCTGATGTCCTCCTCACGATCAGGCTGGGGTTGTGGTTTTGGGGACCACAGAGGTGAGGTGCCATTCTCATCACGTCGGATGAAAGGCACCTGCTCTCAACATGATCTGTCACTGGGCACCTCGCTTTCGAGGTCTCACTTAATCCTCACAGCCCCCCCGGAGTGGGATCCCTCCCACGTTCGGGACGAGAGGACTCTGGCTGGGAGAAGGGAAGGAATGTGCCAGTTCCCGCTGTTCCGGAAGCCCCGCGCCAGAACGGCTAATGCCTCATTGTTTGGCATCTGGCTTGTTTTCAAGTTTTAGGTTATTATAAACACCCCTGCGGTGCACAGCTGTTTTGCTTTCTTTGGGGTTATTTCCTGAGGGTGTGTTCCCCAGAGAAGGGTGTGAGGTTTTCATCACCAGACAGCTCTTTAGAAAAATGGAGACCACTCACAGGACGGGCGCAGCTCCGTGGTCCTGTTCCCCCACGTCCTCTCAAGACCGAGTTTTATCATTTTTATCTACTTTGTCTTGTTTCTTTGTCAACTCTCCCCTTTTTTTTTCTTGGCCACCCCAATGACTTGGCACCCAATAACAGCCGGCTGTTTGCAGAACTCAAAGTCACTCTGGAAGGGCCACACGATTTGACTTCACTGACATTGTTTAAAAGAATGTGGCTCAGGTCAAAGGGCATTTCTCAAGGTGGTGGCTTAGGCAGTGGACGGTGGCTGGCTCGAAGGGACGAACGAGCTGTGACCTCCCGGGGACAGCAGTTACAGGATAAGTAAGCTCGGCACATATGTCAGCTTGGGTCCCAGTCGTGTCATCGCGCACATGAGCTTCTTTCGGGCATCGTTCTGGTCCTTTCCCCTCGGACACTTTCTATCTGCTGCTGGTCTTTTAAAAGATACCCGAGGGTGTTTCTCAAACCAGCCTAGTGTCCACGCAGCACGTTCGAACTGCCATGCCAGTCTTCCTTGCATTTATCTTATTTGTCGATCGCCTGCCCGTGAGTGTATCCGCCGGGACTCAGGCGTGACGGCCCCCAGAGCTGCCGAGAGCAGGGGTGTGCTCGGGGGGTGGCGTGGCTGGCATACTGGCATTCTGGCTGCGGATTTGCCTAGCCAGGGAGGCACCTAACGACAACATATCCCAGGCCTTGGTGTCCTTGGGAGTGGTCAGAGGCTGTGCATCCCCAGAGCACGGTCTTCGAGGGAGCTGACTTGCCCTAGGGCAGACTAGGTGCCCGAGTGCCCTTGTCCCTTTCTCAGATGGCCAACGAGCCATGGGTAGATGTCAATATGCGTTTGGCCATGGCCTGGCCCCTGTTTAATATGAGAGAACAATGCAGTGGAGGGTAGGGGTTTTCGAAGAGAAGATAAAGGTTGTGCCTTAAAAATCATTGCATCAGCACCTCCCGAGTCCACAAAAGGATGGGGTTAAAGGAAGTGAGGTGACTCGAGAGCAGTTGTCTTCCTCAGAGGCTGCTGCCTGGGCACTTTCAGGCACGTGGAAGAGAAAACCAAGCTCAGACAGGCTGGAGCCAAAAGGGCTCCACGGTAGACTGGCTTCCGGCATGTCCAAGTCAGCGTTCGGATACCATCCTCAGGGTTCTTCCTCTTCTCTCTGTCACCTGCCTTGAGCTCCTCCATGTGGGTTTTGCGTGGTGCTCCGGGGAGTCCTGGGCTCTCCACCATCTGGAGGTTGCAAGGTGGTGGCCCCAGACCGACCTCTGACCCGAGGAAGCCTCCTGGGCTCAGGGCGGGGCATGTTCTTCTCCTGAACCAATCCTTGGGGGTGGGGGCGGGAGGGTTGCAGGGTACTCATTGGCTTAGTCTCTCAGAATGAGAGTGGCCAGGGGAGACCGGTGGTCCCAGCTTCTCCAACGGCCCCTGGAGAAGTGAGCATCGGGAAGTGAGCCCCTGTGCCCCGGCCTGGGGGTGGGCGCTGACTCTGAAACCTGTCCACGGTCCTCCAGGCTGAGGGAGGACCTGAGCCCTGGGCGGGAGCTCAGTGCCACCTGCGATCCAGGGGAGCCACTTCCCTGCAGGTGGGGTGGGGCTGGGCAGGGAGCTGCCGGACTCTCCCTTGGTAAAGTCACCGCTCTGTTGCTTTTTGCAGATTCCAGACCCAGGAGGAGCCCAGCGGTAAGTCCCCCCTCCCTTGCCTGCACGTCAGCCTCGTGCCCCTAAATCCGACCCTTCCCCGGCAGATCTGTGGCTCTGAGAGCTTCCCGGGGAAGGGGAAGGACCGCTCCCTTCCCACGGTGCCCAGGGGCAGGCCGCCCTCGCGGGTTCAGGCTGTGTGTGCCCCACTGCAGGGCGCTCTGAGCTCTGAGCGCTGGCGCCTCACCCCGGGCCTGAGCCAGCTCTCGGCCAGGAATGGGGAGCCCCACCCCCACCGCAGCCTGCGGCTCCTGGCTCAGCCCGCTGGGGCTTTCCAGAAGGCCTGGGGGGTGGATTTGGTTTTGGCCACTCTGGGGCACCAGGTCTGGTCTGGAGCAGAGGCTGGTTCCTTTCCCTCTCTCCTGCTTTGCTTCTCCAAGAGCTGTGTCCTCGGAGCCGGGTGACAGACATCAGAACGCTGCACCCTGAGCACTTCAACACGGGTTTCCTAGGAACAAGAACGTGTTTCTGTACAGTCACAATGTGCCCATCATGTCCAAGAAACGTAATAGACACGACCATAAAAAGTCCACGTTAAAATTACTTCTGTTATTGTCCCAATAATGACCTCTACAGGGTTGTTTTTTTAAACAAATTTAACTCCAGGATTCAACCAAGGAACACACCTTGCATTTAGTTGTCAAGTCTCTTTTAATCTAGAACAGTCGTCCTGTCTCCCTCCCCCTATTCCTTCCGCCAAATTTTGGTCTTTTTAGGAATCTAGGCGAGTTGTCTCATAAAACGTCCCACAGTCTGGACACGGTTGTTTCCTCAGGATAAGATTCAGGTTGACTATTTTGGCAAGAACTCAGTACAGGTGGTGCTGTGGTTACATAAAGATTTTAATCTTTCCCCTGTTATCTTTATCCCTGTCTTTAATCTTTTATTTGAATCTGGGGAGGTGAAGGTGGGAGCGCTTAGAGGCAGTGGGCCTGGGGCTGTCACTTTCAGACGTAGGTGCTTAGGAGCATGGATTATAGAGGGAGATACCAGAGTTCAAATCCTGGCTCAGGTGCTTACAAACTGTGTAGCCCTGGGTGAGTGAAGCTCCTCTGTGCCTTGGCTTCCTCATCTGTAAAATGGGAGGCTGCAGT